ATTTATATTTTAAATAAAAATTAAAAATATGAAAAGATATTATAAGATGTTATGCATTATAAATTTTCTAAAGATTGGTACAAACTAAAAAATCACACATGAAATGAGTCATGACTTCTGTTTTAATATATAAGATGCATGTATTATATATAGAATGTATTATCCAAATATAGTGATGTGGACCTTTACATGTGGAAAATTAAATATGATAAGAGTTTTATATGATAATAATAAACATAGAGTTGATTAGTTGTTTAAACAATTGTTAAGCCTTGTGTAAAAAGCGCTAACAAAATTAATGGCTCTGTCTCTCAAACTCATTTGGTGAAGCAACATATACCGAGAGTCTAATTTTGATTTTTTTAAACTAATTAGCTTAGGGTCTAATTTTAAAAATTGTCTTAGATCAGCCAATGTATGTATATTTGGATCTGTCTTCGATTCTAATTATTATATTTGTATCTCCTGCACAAGTGGAATACTTTAAAACTTATGATATCAAACATATTACACTCTAAAACTGAATAAAAGAATGAGTTAAAACACTGCATAGTTTCAGTATGTGATCCAACAATCACCATGAATGGCCACGGAAGTAGGAACACAGGAAAGGCGATGTTAAAACAACATTGGAACCAAATATGGTAGCACGGACATGCGGTCCTAAAGTTCTAGTGGTAGTTTTCTCTCTGCATCTGGTGGAATAAACACATTCCTTACTACTTCTGTAGGTTATAGAAGATCAAACAGTCCTATCTTGTGGCTGAATGTAGCAAGGCCAAAAAGAGACCCTAGACTTAGAGCTGCAAAATTGGAAAAAGGGGAGAAAAAAATTCACTCTTTAGAACAGTCACACAGAAGAAACAGTTCAATCCCTGCTTTAAATATATTGTATGAAGTAACCTTCCAGAGAAGCTATTAGTGCACTTCTTGTAAGCTCCGAAAAACTCAGAAGCTGCAGGATGAATAAGCAATAATGAGCAAAAAGAAGTGTGAAATTTGAACCACAAGATGGCATAAATACACATATCAGTCATAACAAACTCAAGCTAGAATCAAAGTTGCAGAGCACATTATACACATGAGGGCAACAAAGAGACACTCCCCAAACTAAAGGCACTCACTTTCATTTCCGTTTTGCATTTAAGAAACTAAAGTGGATGCTTTTTTTTTTTTGGTCAAACAAAGATTTCATTCATAACAGAATAAACGAACTACACTCCAAGAATGGAGGAACTGTCTGCAGAAGCAAGAGCCGACTTAGCCACCAAGTCTGCCTCAAAGTTTTCCACAGGAGGAATTGAAATAAAAGAAATAGTCTCAAAAGCATTACTAAAATGATAGATGTCGAATAATATCCCAAACAAGGATGGTCTTGATTCCTTCGCTTTCACCATGGTGATGAGTACTTGGGAGTCAGAGAACACCGTAAGAGATCGAATGTTCGACGACGCAGCCGTCATGACTGCAGAACGAACAGCAATGGCCTCTGCCAACAATGCTGAGGAAATTAACCGTCGGGAGAAAGAGATATCTTGAAGCCGCGGAGTGATTTCTCCTTTGAAAACACCGCCAATGCCACATGTACCTGTGACTGGATTCCAAGCTGCGTCCACATAACAAAGCGGGCCCGGAGGTGGAGAATGCAGAGTTCTGATCGGGTTGACATGGCGTCCGGAAGAAATTTGAGCATGAGAGTCCAATCCTTGGGCAGTTTGCCACTCCTTTGCTTCTGTAATCGCCTTGTGAATGACCTCTTGTGCTGTGAAGGATCTGTCATCAAAATAAAGTTTATTACGAGATTTCCACAAGTTCCACAATAGCCATGGCCATAACGGTATGAACAGTCCAACAGGGGGGAGTGTAATCATCCTGCTGTCCTGTGTGAGCAGCAATGCAAGATCAGGAATAAGAGTTCCTGGTTTCCACGCCAAGGGGGATAATTCCCAGACTTCTTTCTCTAAAGAGCAAGTCAAAAAGACATGTAGATCATCTTCAGGTTCACCACATCGCTTACAAGTGAAAGGCAAGATCCCTCGGCTTGCGAGATTTGAACTGACTGGGATTGCTTTGTTTATAATTTTCCAGAGAAAATCCTTCAACTTTGGAGAAGATTTAACTTTCCATATATGTTTCAGCCAATCAAAGGATGTGGGGATATTCAAGCAACTCTGATCAGATTGGCAAGCGAGCCCATAGCCAGTTTTGGTGGTGTATATACCATTAGTCTCAGGAAGCCAAACTAAAGAATCCCCCACAGGGGCAGAGCTCGTAATGATTCTAAGAATGTGTTCCTCATACTGAGGTAGGTGTTGACGTATACGGTCAATGTTCCAGGTGTTAGATAAGGGACAGAGGAGGTCGCTGACACGGAGAGAAGTGGTGTCCTCTGTTGGCAGTCCAACTGGAGTTTGTGGAGTTGAACAAGACAACCAGGGGTCGCTCCAGACCTTTATGTTCTCACCGTTTCCCACCACCCAACCATGGACACCGTTGCTGCTCCTAAAGTGGATGCTAAACAAACACTTTCCCCGAAATAAAGAGACACATTTGATATCTATAGTTTAGAAATCCAAAACAAAACTCGTTAAAGAAACATTGTTAAATGTTAACCAATCCAAATCAAAAAACTCATTAAGTATTGATGTTCTTGATCTAATAAGCAACGTACTACATAGGCAGAAAGTCTTAAACTTTTCACACGCATCAACGACACATTAAAGAGTCCTGGATCTTCTTGATCTTCTCAAGATCACAAGATAATTATTCATAAGCAATTCAATACTTTCCCAAATTGATTCAACAGTTTGAACATAAATCAAAAAGCATGGAAGATCTCGATTCTTAGATCGAAAGAAAAAGACTTACCAAGTGATTCACAATCCCATAAACAGAGATCAAGCTTGCGCCGGTGAGAATCAAATCAAAAGGGGTGAGATTTTATTCGTAGAGAAGTAATCCTAAGATTGTCTCCAAAGAAGAAAACTGAGAGTGGAACCAGATACGGACCAGGTGACGGGGTCTCCATCTTGTCGTCTCCGCCGTTGAGTGATATTGTACGTGAGTTAATGTTTGCTACTGAATTAATTCTGAATTGATAACTAGTGATTACCGGCGCCAGATAAAATTTATATAAAAAATGGTTTGAATACTAACTTTGATTGTTCACAATCGTTTCATAAATTTCTAAAAATATAGTCATGGAAAGTTAATGTAAAATTATTGAGTATCTATCATGTTGATATTTTTTATACTTATTTAATTCACATTGATATCATCTAGATGTTATCATTCACATTCTCACTTCAGTATAAAGAATTGTATTTATGAAATGATATGATCAAATAACATTTGAGATTTGTGTTTACACATAATGAATATTAATTATGTGTCACTAATGAATAGAACATTAATTATTTATACATATTTTTTGTTATTTACGTATTATAAAATAATAAATATATTAAATAATTGAGAATTAAGTAACTGTTACGTATATAATTAAATTAGAGTAAGCACATAAAGAAAAATAATCTTTTTTTACAATAATTTTGTTGGTAAAAAACAAAACAATGATTTATTTACTTTAAGAAGAATATAAATAAAATTAAATAATATTAACATAGATATATAGTATATTTTACTAAGAATATTTATTATTGAGACTTTCTACTCATATAAAAATGTTTTTATATTTTTTGGAGCACAATTTTTATTCTTATTGATATTAATATTAATATTTATTAAAGGCTTCCTACTCAATGAAAATTTTGAAATTAACATTTTAATGTATTTTATATATGATATTTATTTTAATTAAAACAATATTAATATATATATATATATATTAAATCTGATTATATATTACATTAAATATGATAATTTTATAATTATTTGTATTTTATTATAACAAAAAAATTAAATCCTTTATCACAAAATTTTCATTATGGGATTTTAATAGTCTTAGTAATTTATAGTCGTTTAAAAATTCAAAATATAGCATATATATAAGAAAATTTTAAATTTTGATTATATGGTTAATGTGATTATTTATTTTTTTTTAATAATAGAAAATTAAATAAAAGTGATGGAGGATACAAAAATTGTTATCAAATATATATAATTTGAAATCATTAATTATCATATATATGTTAACTATATTAGGTAATTCCATAACTTTTATTTAAAGAAATAATGTAGAATATTCTTTTGTATACTATTAGTTAATTTGATAGTTATTTTAATAAAAGTTATAATATATGTTTAGATGTACCAATTTTTTTCTAATGATTTTAAGAATCATTGTGATGATGACATGTGGCTACCAAAACACGTTGTAATGTTTTCAATTAATATATAGAATATGTATTAGAAATGTATATGACTATCAATGGCAAATATTGTAAATTATCTAGTAATTAAAGGTCTATTAGTTAGGATGACTGAGAATGTATGTGGTGTGGCCACATCAGTTAAAATGGCAAAACTGTTATTAAATTACAAAAGCAAGATTAAGTATCCAAAAGTGCTTCTCTTTTAATAATAAAGAGAAGAGGTTTTTTGTAGTATCAAAAAAAAAAGAAGATGGTTTCAGTTTATAATTAGTTGAAAGCCAATGTGAGCTCCATAAAAGAACTTTACTTCCACAATCGTATCTCAATTAACCCCTCAAGGCCGGTTCATACCCATTTTTGGTTATTAACCGCAATCATTCATTAAACCGGACCATTTTCTTTCGATTTGTACATTCGGCCCTTTGGTAGGCTGCCAACAAGACAAGAAGGCTAGAATTTATAGCACAAGTTCCATCTCAGCTTCAGCTTCTGCAATGGCTGGCTGAATCTTCTTCTTCTTCTTACACAGGTATTTGAAAAAGATCTGGCTGCACTTACCCTGACTTCAACTAATTAATTGATATTGGGGACATACTCAGTTTTGTTATATCTTCCAAATAAAAACAAGCATCTTTGATTAATCAAACTCTCACAATGAGTGTTCTTTTGGCTTTTTAATCACCTTTGTATTTCCATAATCACTTACAGAAAAAAATCATATCGTGCTCCTTAATATAAAGTATGATATGTAGATGTGATGCAATCTATAAGAATATTATATCAGCTACTAACTAAAAATAGCTCATATATATTACAAGAGTCTTCATTAGTTCTACATATATCGACCGTCTCACATCAGCCAAAAATAAACTAAACCGTAGAACACTGAATTAGAGTCTCATCATCAAGACCATGAATTACGGGGAGAAGCGTTTTGGAGGACCTCGAGAAAAAGAGTTTCGTCGCAAGATATACAAAGCTTGGAATCTCCCGAAGTGAAATCATCGTACACTTCGTCTTTTGATTGATCAAGCAAGGCCCTGATGATGGGATCGTGAAGCAGCGTGATCTTGATCACGAACCTCTTGTAACTCTCCTCTTCTTTGCCTACGTACACCACAAGGTGTCCCTTTGGTACGTCATGTGGTATGTGAGGTTCCTCCGCAGCGGCCTTATGCTTGGCTACTTTGCTAGACATTTGCTTCCATGCCTTTGTGATCAGCTTGCTCTTCTTCATCATGATTGTGAGAGAGAGATGAGACGTTTTAGGGGGTTGTTGTGAGATAATTGTAGAGAGGTACTAGTGTCGTACGTGTATTTATATATACACGAAGTCACATACATAGGTCCACTATCTAATTTTTGTGTGTGTATATATTACATGGATGAATAAGTACGGTTAATGATTTGTTTGGACCATGTCGTCTTCTTTTTTCATTATCTACATTATTTACTTATCATGTACTATATTATATATTGTTCTATTGGTCTGGTATACTATCAAGGAATATATTAGAATAATATGTCGACCTTTATGAATATAGGAATAAGGTTATCACATCTAATGTATAAATTATAGCATTTTGATAATTGTAGTTTTTTTGGGATCAAATTCTGACGATTGTAGTTAATTATCGTAATGTACGGTATGTAACTATATACAACGTACTTAACTATTTTGGGTTGGTGAGAAACAATTTAAATTGTACTTACAACATTATTCATCATATGACTTCAGCTTAGAATTAGAAATTAAAACAATAATAAGTGTCATTTTTGTCAACCTACGGCCATGCTGTACCTTGACATACGAAATCGTACGAACATGCATCTTCCCTTCCCCAATGGACTCTCCCTTTAATAATCGCTTCACTTGTGGTTTATTATTTTGTCTTTAATTTTTATCGGCATGGCATATTGGCACTCAACTATTGGGCAACTAAAGATAATATTAATCTATATGTATGTGTGTTTGCCCATAACAGGAGACCGTAAATGCTGTACACGCATGTCCGTTTATAGTCTGGTATGCATAGTGCTAGACTCACTTTAATTAGGTTATTGTTCGTTTTTAATCTTATTTTCAAACCTAATTTATCAACATATATATGATTTTGGTACCACTTTCATCAAAGGTCAAACAAATAATGTTATTAATCCAAATCAGATGCAAACAAATATATATGTATGCAAATATATTCAGTTGGCCCCTACTGTTTTATAAAGTGAAAATGACGTATTATAGTATACTGATGATATAGACTATTCTATGCATTGTCAACTTACTGATTTAGAGTTGTAAGAGATCCACATATCAGGTACTTCATATAGTTTTGTGTAATTTTTATGAAGTAGGAAACTTAAATCAACAATATAAGGGCATGCCCATTAGAGGTTTAGGAGAGGTTTATTGCACATAAACCTAGGTAAACTGAATAAAAATAATGATTTATGTGTGATACTGTCTCACGTGAGCTCCTCAATGTGAACCTGTATCACAACTTTTTCGCGGGCCCCACGCCACGTGGCGGCCCGCGATTGGTCCACTTAATTTTTTTTTTTTTTTTTAAAAAGTTAAACAAAAAAATAATAAAAATAAAAAAGAAAAAAAAAAGTTATAAACCCCTCATCAGGTTTACTGATGGGGATGGTCTAAACAAAGAACTCAACTCCTGATAAAAAGGAAATGCATTTTTCTTGAAATCTGTGAAAATAGAGGGTCCCGCGGTTTGATTAAATGTAGGTGAAAGATAGGATCTAAAAGAAATGGCAGATGGGATAAGATTCTTGAACAAAGTGCAATTCCACTTATGTATATCGATATGTAACTCTCGTTCTTAAAGCTGTCCGTGTTATCATCCAGAAAATGACGAATTTCAAGCATATCAAAAAATTAAATGATAAGATGTACTAATCCATTTTATATGCACACATTAAGGAAAGACATTTATAAATTGAAGTTAAACCGACAATGCCATCTAATTCGATCGGCAGATTTTTTCTGGATTTTATTATTGTGATGTGGCCGGCGATTACCAAAATCAAAATTAGTGCTAAAATATCATCAGTTACTAAACTGATTTATTAATCAAGTCTGAAACGATCTGTAATGCTGGATTTCACCATTGTGGTGTTTCACTGGTGATTACCAAAATCTTTACAACACCTATTGTATTCTATACATCATGGCACCATGACGTGAGCATGCTTAATAGTGCCAAAAGGCTGTCAACCATTATATAATTTTTTTAATATTTTCCGTGGTCGACATATGTTACTTTTATATATAAAGGAATATGGTGGATATCTAATATTTACGCATAACCGTGAAATGTTTTACGGAGAAAAAAGTTAAAAAGGTTAACATACTTTCAATTGTATTACATGATATGTAAATCTTCTGTTAAGTAGTACGTATCGAGCGTAAGGAAAGTGTGTCATTTTCATGCATGGATGCAAGAATCAGGACATGGAGTTTTCCGTGGCCTTGACTAAAAAATTCTTCAAATAGAATAAATTCTGTTCAAAAAGCGGATGAGCGGTATATGTCTGATTTAGTCGGTGGACAAAACTAGTTTTAGCAATTATTAGGCTTAGAAAGTTTTGATCAAATCGAACTTGTAATTCTGTATCCGGGTTTTCCGGTTTGAGTTTAAGACCAAAATAAAATCTGTTCAAAAGGACAAATTGTTTGATCTTTAAAAGTAAAAAAAAGTCTCCAGTGACAGAGAGTGTCTTTATCTACGTTCTTTCTAGTTTTCAGTACCAGACAGCTGATTGGTTTAGCAGTCATTTCTCATGTCACCAAGTCTCAGTGTAAGGCACCCACATTAATAAACCCCTTCTGGAATTCAAATTTAATATTTTTTTATTTTTTTTCGTTACTTTTATTAAAAAAAAATAAATAGTTGAACCAGTCGTGGCCGCCACGTGGTGTGAGGCCCACGAAAATAATGATGAACCAGCGAGACAGGTTCACTACTTTTCTGTTATTTTAATATATTTTTTTCTCGTTTTTCATGTAAACCTCCTTGAGGTTTATTAATATAGCTGCTCTAAATATGACTCTCATAAAACTGGTAGTACAATAGTAAAATACTACCTCTGTTTCAGTGTCACAATAGAAATTTTTTTTTTGATACATTTCGATTTTAATACAAAATTTATTAATTTTATTATATAATTTATTTTTAATTTGTTGAAATATAGTTAGGTGTATAGATAGTTAAATTTTATATAGAAATATATGTAAAATTAATTATTTTCTTAATCCGTGTGTACCAAACTAAAATGACATTTATAAATGAAATAGATAGAATTTAACTACTTTTGATTTGAAAATTCTTGTGCACTCATTAAAAAAAGGTTCATTTCATTGATGTTTTTATATAGGGAAAAACAAAACCTTTAGTTACAGTTTAAATTATGTCGAGTTATTTTCACATCTACAGTATTACTGAAATATATATATATTTTTGACCAAAGGTTTACTGAAATATTTTTAAGGTGACGGTGTTCATAATTCCTTCTTCTTTTTTCTGCTGGTCTTACTTTTGTGTTGGAGATTCCGAGACGACCAGTTTCATCTCCCCTGAGGGACAGGCAGGTGCTTCATCCCATTGCTTCTGCGACTCTCTTTAAGGAAACGAGAGATTATTAATTATAATCAGCCTCTCGATAAGAAATATGGATTCATTCCTAGTTGCAGTACCGGTCCTGATATGAGAAAGACCAGAAGCAATTTTTTAAAAATTGGCCATTTTATAAGAACGTTTATATACTATAATAATAATTTTCTTATAAAAAGGCTGAATTTTTCAAGTATTTTTTGAGGGTCGGAAGCGGTTGCTTGTAATGTTTCCCCTCAGCGCCGGTACTGCCTAGTTGTTTGACATAACACTTGCTGCTATTACACGTGCAATTTAATTGTAGCCAGAAACCTACAAAATTTCTATTGACGAAGGTTCATTGTGGTTATTCTCACCGTCATGAAGACATATACCAATATCAACTTGAGAAATATGTAGGCACCGCGCGATTAAATACTATCGGAAGAAATATATTATTCACTAGTGACTTGTTTAGCTAGTGGAGATTCATTTTATGTATTTTAATTAGAGAAAATGACTAGAATAATACTAAAATTTTTTTTGTCATAAATATAACACTTAAGAGTAAAAATGATCAAAATAGTACTTAATGTTTTATCAAAAGAGATAAATATACACCTACAGTATAACCTCTTTAAATTAATAATCTATAAATTAATATCTCTATAAATTAATATAATTTCATAGTCCCAAACTGAATTTTTGGTTCAATTAATATCTCGATAAATTAATAATCTTTATAAATTAATAAAAAATTTAGTTTTGGTGTAGTTCCAACATTATTAATTTATAAAGGTTTCACTGTATATCTCAATGATAAATTAATTTACACATTAAGATTTGGAGTTAAGGGGTGTGATTTAGGGTTTAGGGTTTAGGGTTTAGAATTTAAGTTTTAGGTTTTAGAGTTCCGGAGTGGGGATTTTGGGAATAAGATTTATATTTTTGAAAAAGATTTTTAAAAAAAAAATTTTAAAGATAAAATACTATTTTGGTCATTTTAGTTTTTAAAAGCTATTTTTGTGACATAAACTTAGAAAGATGATATTTTGGAGATTTTCCATTTTAATTAACTAAAATAAAAATTGGGAAAAGTTTAACAGTGTGTCTACTCAATTGGTGATTGAACACTGGAGTCTCTAGACATAGATCACTGACGATCAGTTGATTCCCCTCGACAATTTTTTCTTTCATCTATCTCGCTGTCATTGACATTTTGTGTTAAGTTTGAGTTAACTTGCTAATATTTACCTTGGATAGCAAGTAATGTAATGAACCTGCCCTTTAAAAACTGAAGTAACAATGAGAATTATTTGAAATAGAAATAATATTTTTTTGTAAAAATATGTTTGTAAATATTGACAGCAATAGTATCAAAAAAACGTTAACCAAAACTGTATCTTATTATGGTATAAATCACATTTATAATAACTTAGCCCGAATCATAATTATAGTTTTTATTTTTATTGGGATGGTGATTATTTTGTTGTTTAGAAAATCATTTGAGAAAATATATTATATTGTTATAAAAAACATATTTTTTATTTCTACAAAAACATAAAATTCACTTGCGTAATATAGGTTATTTATTGCATATTTTTATTTAATAAACAAGAATATTTCAATATGATAAATATATTATAAAAGTTATATGATATATCTGCCAAT